CTGGGTCAATTGGCAGCATCATGATGGATGGTGAAGAGATTGAGATAGCTAACAGTTTTCATTCTTGGTAACAGCAACCAGGAAATCAGGAGATGAATTGCATTGGGAAAGTCAGCTGTGAGGGACCTCTCAAGAGTACTGAAGAGCAACGACGTCAAGCTGGAGACTAAGGTGTGCCTGATCCAGGCATTGGAGAGTTGGACAGTGAATAGGGATGATAGAAAGAGAATTGATGTCTTTGAGCTGTGGTGCTGGAGAACAGTGTTGAATATACCATGGACTACTAGGAGAACAAACAGGTTTGTCCTGGAGAGGGTGAAGCCGGAATGCTCCTTGGAGTCAAGGATTCTGAAGCTTCATCTGACATACTTTGGGCATGTTGCAAGGAGGGACTGGTCCTTGGAGAGGGACATCATGTTTGGGAGAGTGGAAGGACAGCGCAGGAGAGGAAGACCTTCGATGAGATGGATCAATTCTGTGAGTGGAGTGGTGGGGATGAGTGTGTTTGAGACGGCGATGTTGGCACAGGCTAGAACGGTGTTTAGGGCTCTTGTACATGGGGTTGCTATGAGTCGCAAGCGACTCGTGGCACATAACAACAAACAACATGGAAGTCATCACTGACTGGAGCCGATGGTTCTGCTTATCAGCATAGAACAACTGAGAATTTGAGATGGCATAAGGAAGGCAATGAATTTATAACTTCTAGTGTGGATAACACTATATGTATCTTGGCATGGAGGAGGAACGGTGAAATGGTATCCATGTTTACAGCATTCTTCTTACCAAAAACATTTATGGAAAATAGGAACTGCATAGTGTCACATATCTATTTGGATTAGAATTTACTTACACAATCCTATTAACAATGTTACTAGCCTTAGATTTAAAAGAAACGAAACCAACTATATTCAAGTCTGCGTTTTATTACCTTATGTATTTTTAAAAGGTCCAACTCGATGGAATTCTACAAATTAGACATTTATTGTTCAAATTGTTTTTTGTGCATTTGTTTAAATTCTTCTATTATTTTCTCAACTAATGAAAGTAACTGCGATGGGAAAGTTGGCTCTTACAGACCTCTCCAAAGTACTGAAGAACAATGGTGTCTCTCTGAAGACTTAGGTGCATCAGATACAGGCCATGGTCTTTGCAATCACTTGTTAAGTGTCAGAGAATTGGACAATGACTAGGGAGGAAAAAAGGACAATTGATGCCTTTGAGCTGCAGTGCTGGAGAAGAGTACTGAGTGTACCATGGACTGCTAAGAAAACAAACAGACTCATCCTGGAGAGGGTTAAACCGGGCTGCTTCTTGGAGGCAAGGACTCTGGGGCTTCATCTGACATACTTTGGACATGTTGTAAGAAGCGACCGGTCCCTGGAGAGGGACATCATGCTTGTGAGGGTGGAGGGACAGCACAGGAGGGGAAGACCTTCTGAGGTAGATTGATTCAGTGACTGGAGTAATCGGGATGGGAGTGTCAGAGACAGTGCAATTGGCACAGGACAGAGCACAGAGTTTAGGGCTGTTGTACATAGGATCGCTATGAGCCACAAGCGACTCCACGGCACATAACAGCAACAACAATGAAAGCAAAATATTACAATGAAATGTGCAAGAAGCTGGAATCGGAAAATCAAAAGGGCCAACCTTACTCAGCATTTCTCAAGCTCAGAAGAACTGAAGAACAAATTCAAACCTCGAGTTGGTATACTTAAGCATGTTTTGGACAGAATATTAAATGATCCAGGCAGTATTAAAAGAAGATGTAAAGAATATACAGAGTCACTGTACCAAAAGGAATTGGCAGACACGGAAGAATTTCATGAAACAACATATAAGCAAGAGCCTATGGTAATGAAGATGTTCAAGCTCTTTGAAGGAATTGGCAAAAAAAATAAGGCCCCAGGAATTAATGGTATAACACAGGATCAACATCTCACAACATACACAAAAATCAATTGAAGGTGGACCACCGGCCTCGGAGTAAATCCGAAAGCCATAAAGTTCCTAAAAGACAAATTGGGCTCAAGCTTAGCAGGCCTGTTCTATGACATAAAGAGACTGCCAAATACAGCCGGAAATGCACAATCTGAAGAGGGTAAAACTAATGAACGCGACTTGTTAAAGATTAAATCCCTGTTCACTTGCTTTAAGTGTGGCTCTGAAGGACACTTGGCCAAGGTGGGTCACATCAGGTCCTCGTGGCTGACAGGACTGACAGGCCCCAGCTGGAAACAAAGGAGGACGCTTCAACGATTTAGATCCTCGCAGAAGAGCCATGGATGAGCATTAACATTACTGGTAAGTATATTCATTTTCTCCTGGACACAGAGCCTACTAATTGGTCCTAAAAGCCTTCTGAGGTCCCAACTCTTCTCACTAT